AGGGACAGCCCCCAGGGAATGGCTGGAGCTGTGTCAGGGCAGGCTCAGGGTGGATCTCAGGGAAAGGTTCTTCCCCCAGAGGGTGGTTGGCACTGAACAGGCTCCCCAGGGCAGTGGGCACAGCCCCAAGGCTGCCAGAGCTCCAGGAGGGTTTGGACAACGCTCTGAGGGACAGGGTGGGATTGTTGGGGTGTCTGTGCAGAGCCAGGAGGTGGGTTGGATGGTCCTGTGGGTCACTTCCAGCTCAGGATTTCTGTGATTCCATGATTCTAACCTGAATTTCACCCTCAGCTCACACTGCAGGACAGCCTTGGAGTTTTGGTGCCCTGGACACCGAAGGATCACCGGGGCTCAGGCTCTGCTCCCTGTGGCATTGCCTGTATTTGTTACACTGGTGGTGCCTGCACAGCTTCTCTGCCACCAGCCAGGGTGGGCAGGACCCACCTGAGAGCCTCTGGCAGCTCCTACAGTGAGGGGGCAGGAGGGTCCTCACCAGTCCAGGCCCTCCTCCCGAGCCAGGGACCTCACGCTCCCCTCGCTGTAGAACTGGGAGAACCAGCGCCGGTGTCTCCGGATCCCAGAGTCCTCCCGGACCAGGAGTGGCTTGGACAGGTACTGCTTGTTATTCCAGGTGGTCACATCCCACTCAAACTGGGGGCAGAAGGAGGGTCTCACTCAGGTGGGGAAGCTGAACCAGCAGGTCTGTGGGACACTCATTCACTATTCCCACCCCTCCCAGCTGATCCCTGTGGGACTGGCCCTGTCACCAGGAACACAGAACACCACACCTGCAGCCAGCAGGGTTTAGCCCAAAAAAGAAGCTTCCAAAAAAAGAAGCCACTTCCAGCTCAGACTGCCCCTGTCATGGGGGTTGTGTGGGCAGGAGCTGCTCCACCCAAGAGTTTTGGGTCATTGGGCAGCTCCAGCCAGCCAGGGCTTTATAAATAAAGAATCCACATCTTACAGTCTGCTCAGGCACACGTGGAGAAAGATTGTGGAGTTTTCCTTTGGGAAGAAGGTGCTGCAGAAATGAGTGTTGCTCATCCACCTTAGTGAAATGCAAAATGTTAAGGCAGCATTTACAGAATATGAGGCAGCACAACTAAGTTTTACTTGGGTTGGTTTTTGGCATCTGGACATCATCTGGAGCTGGAGAGATGAGGCCTCTCTCCAACAGAGGTGGCCTTCAAGGCCATGTTTGACCTGAATTTGGCAATAATCTTGTCTCAGCTGGGATATTGAACTGGAGGCCTCCAAAGTTCAACACTTCCATGAATCCCTGTGGTAAAAGCCTGGAAAACCTCTTTCAGGAGTAGCAGGAGTTGCGAAATCTCATGATAATTTAAAAACAGGAGGATTTTTTGGCACAGTTCTTGCCAAAGGTAATAGGATGATGTTAAAGCGCCAGCCTGGGATGCTGGATACCTGGATGCAGTGATTAGTTCCCTCAAAGACTTCCTGCAGCTAAAGAGGGGTTGCCTAATCCTTGTATCCCAGCTTCCCGCCCAAAGGAGAGGGATAACACCTCTCTGCCACCCTCAGCAGGTGATTCACTGCAGGGATCCCCTTTATTCGACCTCCAGTTTGATTTTTTTGGGGGCCACTGAGAAGGAAAGATCACACCAAGCACCCCAAACACCTTCCCCACGAGTGCTTTGCTCCCCCAGGATATCAGAGCCCATGTGGGCAACTGCTCTTCCTTCTCCCCCCTCCCAGGCACGAAGCTGCAGGGAACCAAATCCCTTTGGCTGCTCTTCTGCAGGGGCCTCACCTGGACACACTCTGCCCTCAGGATGAGCTTGGGTTCTATGGCTGGTACGTTCTTCTGGTCGTAGATTTTGTGACGGACGCTCTGCAGGAGAGGCTGCAGGGGAGTCACCGTCTGCAGGATGACACCACGGCCCAGGAACGCGTGTTCAAAGGTCAGGTAAACCAGCCCTGGCCCCACCTGCAGAGCAGCAGAACATCCTCAGGGAACAACCCCCAGGGGTCCAGCAACTCCCACTCCTTGAGACCTGCTGGAGATGCCTCCTGGGCTGGGCTTGTTACTCCTTTCATCACAAAGTCGTGGGCCATGAGTCACAACTTTGCCAGTCGTTGTCATCTCCGGGCAGAGTTAGATTGGATAGATCAGATATTGGGAAGAAATCTTTCCTGTGAGGGTGGGAGGCCCTGGCACAGGTTGTCCAGAGAAGCTGTGGCTGCCCCATCCCTGGAAGTGTCCAAGGCCAGGTTGGATGGGGCTTGGAGCAACTTGGGCTGGTGGAAGGTGTCCCTGCCCATGGCAGGGGGTGGAACTAGATGATCTTTGAGATCCCTTCCTACCCAAACCAGTCTGTGACTCTATGATTTGTTCTACATTTCTAATGTGGGAATAGGTCAAATTCCTTCAAAAATATATTAGACTAAAGTTAAAAATGTTTTATCAGGCAAACTTCACATTTAATTGAAAAAAATCCAGAAACAAAAATAAAAGTGAGAAGATCTAGTTCCAGTTGATTCGTAGCATTATTTCTATTTTCCTGTAATTCTTTGTCAGTCTGTGTCAGCAGTTTTATTGTCTCAGGACTGATCTTGGGCTACAGACACACTGTTCCTGATTGTTTGCCTTTCCCACTTCTGCACTGTAACCAGCTGTGACCATGTGGAGTGAAGGTCCCTCAGGATTGTCACCAATGTCTGCTCAGGTGATTTTTTTAGTTGTTTTGTGGCACAGTAATCCTTAGGACCCCTCCCTCTTCTCTGGGGCAGCCCCAGTGCCAGTGGGTGCTCTTTGACCCATGTGAAGGATGCACTGGGTGGGGAAGGTGACCCTGAGATGAGCTCAGCTGGTCAGAGCAGGGTGCTGACCACAGTGAGGTCACAGGTCCCTTCACAGGCCATTCAGTCGGACTGGGTGGTCCTTGTGGGTCCCTTCCAAGTCAGAACGTTCTGTGGCTCCGTGACTGAGCAGCACACGCTGGGCTCTCTGCCTCTGGGGTAGCCAAGCCCATCAGCTTGAGGTGCTGGAGGTCCCCAGGACACACCTGCCTGGCTGAGACCGTCAGATCCGTGAGGCAGAGGCCATTCCCGAAGATGGTGGCGGAGTGTTGGAGCAGCAGGTGGGAGCAGTGCTCGTTTGCTCGTTGGGCTCGGGCTGCCACTCTGCCTGGAGAGGGTGGGGGGCACAGGCTGAGAGGGGCAGCGTGAGATGGGGACAAGAGGACCATCTGGAGATGATCCTCAGGTGTGATCCTCAGGTGAGGGAGCACAGATAAAACCCTCAGAGATACTGAGCAGGAGTTGCAGCCGAGGGGGTGAGGTGGGACAGATGCTTTGAGGTAGGAAGGGAACCTGGTTTGGAAGACTTGGCTAAGAGGGGAGCTGGGGTCTTACCTTCCAGGTGTGCTTCATGAAGTCCCCCAGCCTGGACCTGGTGTACCTCAGGTCAGACCCTGCCAGGACAGCTGGGCCCTGCAGAAAAGCCAAGTGAGCCGCGTCGGCCGCGTTCTCGGGGATCTCCTGATGTCAGGGAACAATTTGCTGTTGGCAAGAGCTGAGTAGGGTGGGAGCTGCCTGCACTTCCAGCAGCTTTGCAAGAGCCCCAGGGTGGCCCTGGTACAGCCCTGGGCCCCCAGCTGAGCAGGGCAGAGCAGGGCAGAGGTGCTCACAGGGCTTGAGGCAGTGACAGGCACCAGGGGACTCAGCACAGACTGACCTGGGACCAGCTCTTAACAAGCAGCAGGGAATAATTTAAAAGGAAGTTCAGAAAATTCAGGGTTCATTTTAAGCTCACAGAACTCTCTGTGTGCTCACTTGTGTGGGTGCACAAGCTGGGACTCCAAATAAGTCCTGCTTTTGGCCCTGTGATAACTGTAAAGAATAAAATATTTTTGCCTAGTTTTCACATCCTTTTACACCTTTAAAAACCCCACCAGCCTGCCCAAATACATCACTTTTTGAGACATTTTAGCTGCTTTAGGACTGAAATACACCAGCTACAGCTTCCCACCAGCTCTGCAAGCAGCACAGACTGGCCCCAGCACAGACCTGTGTGCAGTGGTTTGCACTGGGAAAGACATAAAATAAATATTACTATCCCCTCAATCCCCCAAATTCTCCCAACTCCTCTGCACACTCCCAGAGCTGCATCTCCTGTGCCTCATGCATGTTCTTAATGCCTCCCAGTAACTCTCTATTCCTTCCTATCCCCTCTCCTCCCTTGGGATGCAGCCAGCAGGCAGGTGCTGCCTTTGGATTTGGTGTGCTCTAGATTAAGGGTCATTTTTGTCCCTGATTTTTACAACTACAGGTGTTCTGCTCAGCAGCAAGCAGAGAAAAATCTCCCCAGGACCTCCAGACATCACCCAGTTTCAAAACTGCTGCTGCCTCCCATCTCTCTCCAGGAGGAGCCCCGACCTGTGGCTGCCCCTTCTCCCTCCCAGGTCCCTTCTGTCCAGTGCCACAAAATGAGGCCCCTTTTCCAGACTCATTTCCACAGGGAGGCAGCAGCCGTTTGTCCTCCATGGCCCATTTGTCAGCCCACGACGGTGATTATGAAGATTAACAGCAAAATAACTGCGCCTTTCCATGGGGGTGATGGATGGGCTGAAACGCCTCCTGACAGTAAGTGCCGCAGCTCTCGGAGGATTCTTTTTTTAAATTACACCAGTTGTAAGTCAAAGCAAATTAACAGATTCTTTTTAAGCACCCAGAACAGCTGTTCTCCACCCGAGGAGCTCACGCTCTGTGTTTGGGGAACATATGCCACACTCTGGGGTGTTTCTAGGTCAGAGCTCTGCCAGCAGCACTGATGGCACTGCCAAGGGCTGGTGAACTGGGAGGAGCTGTCCCTGAATGGGTTAACTGGGAGGAGATGCCCCTGAACTGGGCTATAGGAGAGGACCCACGCCGTGGGGGAGGGGGGGAGGGACCGAGCTCCCTACCTGGATGTGCGTGTCCACCAGGAGCTCCGTCTGCCCAAGGAACACCCACTCTCCCGTGGTGATCTCGCGCTGCTCGGGCACTGCCCAGGTGGGATCGAGCCCTTGGCAGTGGTACCAGACCAGCAGCATCCCGTTCACCTCGCAGGACGGCCAGCCCCGCACCCTGGCGCGATCCGGCACTGCGGGGCACAAAGGGAGAGGTTAAACCCACAGCCCCGGGGCTGGCACCGCCCTGACCCCTGCGCTGAGCCCCAGCTCAGGCATCGGCTCTGGGGGAGATGTTCGTGTGCCACACGCTCGTGTTGGCGCTTCTCCAGCATTCACGGCACTGAAGAAGAGCAGCAGCTATGAAGGTCGCAGAAAAGAGTTTGTTTTAATCGGTTTTGTTTCAGTTTGGTGTTTTGCACAAGTTTTTTAAAGGAACAACGTGACTGGCTGATCTGTTGCCTCTTTAACCTGGTTAAATAACTAAATGGCTGCTGCAAGAATGGATCCTCCTCCAATTTCAGTGAGCTAAAAGGAGATACTTCTAGTTTGGGCTGTGCAGAGAGAGTAAAAGCCATCACTGCCTCTCAAGTTCAAGTCATTCTCTGCTATAACGTTGCGGTATCATGTGTTGTAAGAATAGATCACTTCAGTGAAAATAATTTTGGCATTTATAGTTCATTGTCAGAAAATGCAGCTTCTACCGGATTGGAAGGCTGTTACCTTCATTACCTTTTTTGTTCTAATGTGGAAATGAGCACCAAGGAGAGCACAGAGCACTTCCTTCTTACTCAGCCTTCCTTCTTACATGTGGGAGGTGAAATAATGCGAGAAATGATGATTCTCTTTGAGTCAATGAATATCAGAGGGGGCAGGAGGACCCCATCACTGTGATTTCTGATTGATGAAACCTGGTGCTTCAGGTGGGATGCATCTCATTAAATTTCTAAGGGGTTTCATCTGCCCCCACGCAGACATAGAATCACAGAATCATTCAGGTTGGAACAAACCTTGAATACCCCCAAGTCCAACCATTGCCCAGCACTAACCCATGTCCCCAAGTGCCACATCCACACATCTTCTAAATCCTTCCAGAATGGTGACTCCATCACTGTTCTGGGCAGCCTGTTCCAATACCTGACCACCCTTTTAGGGAAGGAATTCACACTAATAGCAGATTTAAACCTCTTCTGGCACAACTTGAGACTATTTGCTCTTGCCCTGTCCCTCGTTCCCTGGGAGCAGAGCCCAACCCTCACCTGGCTCCCCCCTCCTGTCAGGGAGTCCCCCCTGAGCCTCCTTTTCTCCAGGCTGAGCCCCCCCAGCTCCCTCAGCCATTCCTTGTGCTCCAGACCCTTCCCCCTCTCCCTCCAGCCCCACACTGGGCTCTGTCTGGCCGTGAGTCCCTGAAAGCCCGGGGAGGAGCTGCCCATCTGAGCTCTCCAAAATCCTGCTCCAACAAGGTACCTGTGTGAGCACAGATGGCTTTTAAATCTGTTAAAATCACCCTGACCTATTTGGGCTGGAGGGGAGCAGGGCAGCTGGCTGCAGTTTCATTCTTTTAATACCTCCAAATAACAGTGACTCAGAATTCAGCCATTTCAGATGAAATGACACAACTTGGCCAGTGTTTGTGTATGTCGAGAATATTCTCCCTCGTTTTGTGGTGAAACACATCATTTCATTTGAATGCAGCTCCTGACTATGTGTGTGGGGGGAAAAAATACAGTATTAATCTTTTTTTTCTGAAAATAACACACACAGAAAAGGAAATTGCTGTTTGCTGAGATCTGTGAATTGGCTCTCTTGCCCATATAGATGGAATGTTTCTTTCACTTCGGGAGAAATAGTTTGTTTAGTAGAAAGAGTGACTTTTGTTGCCAATCAATGTTTCATTGCTATCCTAATCGATCCAAATCCAATGAAGTTGAACTTCTCAGGACAATAACTAAGAAGCACAAGCCAAAGCAAAACTCAAGGTAAGTGAATTGGTGATTTAAATTCGTTACTGGAGCCAGATCAAATAATTGCTCCATGACATTTAAGACATTCTTCCTACACAGTCAACGCAATCCATATCTACATGGTGGGTGTATGTGAAGAGCTTTCCTGAATCCCAACCGAACGTTCCTTTCAAGCCTTAAAAGGAGGAAAAAATCCCATTGAGAAACTGTTCTGTCATGTTCACGGGACACGTTTCAGCCCTGATTGGCATAAGCTGTCACTGTAGAGCATGGGATCATTTCTGGAACCCAACAGCTCCTCAGAGTACATCCCTGAGGGACCCACTGGAAGGCTCAGAGTTAAAAATCTGCTTTTGTACTCTGCCTGTGGAATGCAGGAGGTGTGGGACTGTCAGAGCCAAGAAGGGCGTTATTTAACCACGGTCCCAGTTACCACCTAATAGAGGAGAGGGCACTGGAACCCTGTGCTTCTGTTCCTGTGGAACACTGGGACATGGACAACCCAGAGGAAAACCAGGGTGCTGCATGAAACAGGGGAGTGCATGGAGGGTGAATTATTATAAACACAACTTTCCCCTAATTAAGTGGCTTCTAATGAGGACGTGTGGGGCACTATCCTTTCTGTGGTTGCTCTCCGTGGCCCTGGGGGCACGTTCACCTTTTGCAGCACACGGGATGCTGATGCATTTCCCATCCTCTCCTCGGAACTGCCAGCCGTGGAAGGGGCACTCGATGCAGCCGCCCCGGACCCGCCCGCCGGCAGCGAGGTTGGCCCCGAGGTGGGGACAGTGGGCGTCCAGCACTTGGGCTTGGCCATCCTGGGAGCGAAACACGGCCAGATGTTCCCCTGCGGGAACAGGAGATGCTGGAGCTGCAAAAACAGCAGCACCAGGGGAAGGGGGTCGGGCGGGACGCTCATTGCTCGGCCCCTTCGGAACGGGCGGCACCGACCCGTGACTTCACCCGGTGTCAGAGGAGTCTGCCTGGGCAAAGGAGGGAGAAATACCCCGCGAAATATTAATGCACGAGGGCTTCTTTCCTTTCTGGTCGTGGCAGGACACAAACAGGGATGCTCCGGAGAAGTGAATTAACCACGAGATGGCACCAGGCAGCTGCCAGAGCCGGGCAGGGGCGGCTGCACGGGCTGACGGAGGGACAGCGGCAAGAGGGGACAGCGGCAAGAGGGACAGCGGCAAAAGGGGACAGCGGTAAGAGGGACAGCGGGCAGCAGTTCCCCGCCAGGCTGCGGGCAGGTGTTCCCTGGCTGCAGAAAAGGCCAGGCAGAACTGGGCTGGCGGCTGCTCAAGCTGATGCCCCGAGTGTGGTGGCCATGGACGCACTGCCCCGGGTTTACAAGACATCCCAGAGCAGGGAGCCAGCCCGTCACACCCCGAGTGTCGCCCTGAAGAGCTGCCCAATGTGCCAAAGAGCTGCTGTAGCACCGAATCACCAGTGCTGAAGGGCGTCACCTCGCTCCAGGCAGGGGGAGAATAATTTCTCATGGTCATCTCTAAACCATTACGGTTTTGACCCTCAGCTCTGGTTTTTAAGCTGCTGGATCCTATTTTGGCCACAGGATAAAAGGTGCCTTCACAACAAATGTTTGAAGATTTAGGATGCTTCCCCTGCCGAGGGAGAGAGACAGAGAAGGGCAATTGCAGCATTTAGCAGGAACTCCTTCACCCAGGAGGGGCAGGGCAGAGCCCGCAGGCTCCTACATCTCGGGAATCTCTGCTAACGGGAGCTGGAAGGAGAAGCCCTTTATCTCTTTGCTCTTGAACCCCGAGGGCCAGACACACTGTAGCTCAGCAGCAAATCCCTTCCTCGGGCAGGGACAGCTGAGAGCCAGAGCACCGACACCTCCTCGGCAAAAGGGAGCTTTCTGGTGAAGGGAAGGGAAGCCCCCGGCTCTGGTCGGCTCCACACGGGGAGTTGAGAGTCAGTGCTGGAGTGGCTGGGACTGCATTGCCCCAGCAATCGGCCCGTTCTCCACTGTGGTGGAGATTTTCTCGTGCTTCCCGGAGCAGTGGGAGGTTTGCCCCCCTGGCCTGTCCCTGCTCGGTTCTGGCATTGCCCTCTTCCTGCACAGCCCCAGGGCAGCACCACGTTAGCTGAGCAAGGACCTGCTAAGGCGGGGCTGTCCCTGGGCTGCAGCCATCAGACTGCTGATGGCTCTGCCTCTCCCAGCTGTGCTCCAGCCACAGCCGGGCGGCTGCCACGGCGTTATCTAAACTGAGGTACTCCCGAGGGACTGAACTGCAGCCAGATGCTTTCCTGGCCCAGCACAGACCTACCAGTGCCCACATCCCTGGAAGCAGCACAGGGAAGAGGAGCTGTGCATTGAAAGCAAAGTGTCCCCTCGAGTCACCTCCTGGTTGGAAGGGGACACAGCTGGGCTGGGAGCTCAGAAGCCCTTGGGGGCTGTTCATACAGATGTGGCCACTGAGGGAAAGGCCAGGTCCTCTCCTCCATGCTGTGCTTCAGGTGATGCATATTTGTATTCAGAGTTCATCAGCTGGTGAACTCTGGTCGTTACAGCCACTTGAAGCTCAAAGAAGTCCAAACTCAGCTTTAGTAGCTGAGTGCAGTCTGTGTTTTCCCAGGCAGCCACCCTGATGACAATTGACACAGTGTGAGCTATCCCTCCCAAAACCCCTTTCCTTGACTGAAGTTTTGTTATTTGGGCAAAGAAAAGGAAATCCTCTAAATTTTCCCAACCTTCAAGCCCAGGAAGGATTATTTCTGATATCTGGCAGATATGAATACTTGTACCCCAGTGCCTGGAGATCCCTTCTTTCCCAGGACACTGGCTCTGTTGTCTCTGGAGTCTTTCTGGAAGGCTCTCACACAGCTGCTGGCAGCAGGCACGGGGAGTGGAGGCACCAGAAGTACATCTTCTCCTGCCCCAGGTAACAGGGACTCATTCTGAAGCATCAGGGTTTTCTTCCATCTCTAACCCACCTCTCCACCTGACCTGAGGCAATTTGGAGGTCTCCTGCCTTGAAGACCTGAAGCAGTGCCCATGGTCAGACCTTTGCTGGGCTGTCCCAGAACTCTCCCAGGACTCCTAAGTGCTGCTTTTGCCTCCAACCATTGCAGCCTGGAGCCAGCAGAGCCAGAGGAGAGGTTGGTCTATGCTCTGCCTTGTGCATCCAATCCAATGTCTCTCCAGCTTGGGAGGACAGTTTTCTGGCCTGAGATACACCAAAAAACTGTTGCAGGTGAATATCAGAGCACTAACAGCCAAAGAATTTTTCCCTTTTTAATTTTAAATTTTCCACTTAATTATCCTATTTCTTTTAGGAAACTCAAATAACAATTGCAGCAAGAACAGCACAGGGGACTTGAAGAGACCCGGGACCACTGGGCAGTTGTGGGCACTTGTTGGGAATGCAGAGTCTGGGACAGAGCAGCTCAGAGGAGTCTGGAGCAGCTCTCACCCCACTTCCACAACCCCAGGAGAGACTGAGACTTTCCTGCATGCTCAGTGCCAGGTTTTGGAAGGTGTCTTATCCCAAAGGATGAATCTGCAGAGACTGAGTCAAGTGATTGCTGTTCTTTTATCTCCTCTGACTCGCTGCCTCTGAAGTGGGGCTGCATTTCCAGGCTTTTTGATCAGAGGCTCCAAAATAAAAGAGACACCCACCACAAACCCAGAGGCTGCAGGGTGTTAAACTGTCTTACTGATAATCTTCCTGGCACTGGTACCCTCCTGTCTCTGCCATCAGAAGTGATTCCATCTGCACATTTCAGCCAGACCCAGAGGACTGGGTGCCAGGCACCAGGTTATGGGCAGACAATCAAAAGAACTATAACAGAGAGGCTGGAGGGGCTCTCTAGGATAG